CTACGAAGATCTTTATCGGTCAGACCGCATAACAACATACGTTGTTCCCTTTGTCATCGGTATGTTACTTGCCCGAGATTCGATCGTCGGTATCCAATACCTAGTTCAATCTCGTTACCGGCAAGTCTCTTTACTCGTTCCGTAATACATCATCTCACAACTAACATATTAGTTGCAGTGCTTGCAAGGCTTATGTGATGTGCATTACCGAGAGGGCCCAGAGATACCTCTCCGACAATCGGAGTGACAAATCCTAATCTCGAAATACGCCAACCCAACATTTACCTTTGGAGACACCTGTAATGCTCCTTTATAATCACCCAGTTACGTTGTGACGTTTGGTAGCACCCAAAGTGTTCCTCCGGAAAACGGGAGTTGCATAATCTCATAGTCATAGGAACATGTATAAGTCACGAAGAAAGCAATAGCAACATACTAAACGATCAGGTGCTAAGCTAATGGAATGGGTCATGTCAATCAGATCATTCAACTAATGATGTGACCTCGTTAATCAAATAACAACTCTTTGTCCATGGTTAGGAAACATAACCATCTTTGATTAACGAGCTAGTCAAGTAGAGGCATACTAGTGACACTTTGTTTGTCTATGTATTCACACATGTATTATGTTTCTGGTTAATACAATTCTAGCATGAATAATAAACATTTATCATGATTATAAGGAAATAAATAATAACTTTATTATTGCCTCTAGGGCATATTTCCTTCAACAAGTTGCCAAGTATCTTTTTTAGTAGAGCCTGAAACTCATGTTCCATTGCAGCACGCCAATGAGGAATACTAAGTGCAGCCTGAAAGTGATGAGGTTCTGCAGTGGGATCAGCAGCAGTATGAGCCATGCAAGCAGCGAGCCATGCGACAGTCCCATCTTTGCGTTCCTTCGGACAAAAAATGCTAGATTGACTTCATGTGCGAGGACGCAAGGCGACAGCAGGCTGTGCTGGCAACACCAAAGCAGCAGGTGACGGCGATGAGGTCGAGGCACCTGACGAGCTCTCGCCAGGACTCCCTGGCGCCAGAGAAGCAGGCGACGTCGAGGCGAACGAAGGCAGCCCATCGGAGGCCGAGGTGAGACCTGCCGGTGTTGCTGGGCCCGGCGAAGCTGCAGCCGGCCCAGCCGGAGTGACCGCCAGGTCGGCCGAGACCACCACCGGGCCGGGGAAGACGGCAGCTGGCCCAGGCGAGATGACCGCCAGGCTGGGCGAAGCCGGCATCCACGTGCTAGGCGAGACCAGGATCGGGGCGGATGAGGCCGGCGCCCGCGCCCCGGGCGAAGCAGTGGAGGGTTGCCAGGTGACACCCGGTATGCATGGCCCATGCACGCGGGATACGTCCCGATCAGGAGCGACGTCCGACGCTTGTTCATCCAGGAGCTCAAGGCGAGCACCACGTTCAATACCTGCAGCATGATTAGGAAGCAACGCAGGGGCATATGCAACATCCACAAATTGATCAGGCGAAGGTATAGACATGTGCACAAGTGGCGTGAGAGTGGTAGAGTTTGTCGGAAGTGCACGAAAGGGAAACACATTTTCATCAAACACAATGTCATGAGATATGTAGACGCGATTTGTAGGAACATGTAGGCACTTGTACCCTTTGTGAAGGGAACTATACGCGAGAAAAACACACTTCTTAGACCAAAACTCTAGCTTACGCTTGTTATACGGACGTAGGTGAGGCCAACACGCACACCCGAACACCTTGAGGAATGTGTAGTCTGGAATTTCATTGAGTAAGAGTTCAAGCGGAGTTTGCATTTTCAGAAGTCGTGAGGGAGGGGAGCCTAATTATCAAAAAACAAGATGTGGAGAAAGCATCACTCCAGAACCGAAACGGAACGGATGCATGAGCTAGCAAAGTTAGGCCAGTTTCTAAAAGACGACGATGCTTACGTTCGTCAGTTCCATTCTGCTGATGTGTATGAGGGCAAGACACACGATGCGAAATCCCAAGTTTGTTAAAAAAACGAGTT